CTATAATAATAGGGAATTCCCTATTATCTACTCCTGATACTATAGTAATATATATATAGTCAATGGCCGCCGCGTGTGTGCTGTACGTGCGGGCTTGTTCTTGCTGCCAGTGATATTGGAGGGTTATTGTCTTATCTTATTCTGATAGCTGGGGAGAAACGTCACGTTCTCCATAGTATCCTTTCTTTTAAAACTTTATTAATTTTTAAAATTAAACTTAAAATATCACAACTCATATACCATGCATTATCAATATCAGCATAGAAATTACATAGCATAGCGATATATTATAATCGACCTATTGACCTTACTCTAAACACATACTGCCAAACCTGTGTTGAAGAACAACTTTATAGAGTAGACGCCTGCCTACTTGAAGTTGAACTTCGTACTTGAACACAAGGCGTTCTCCTTGAGTGACATTTTTAAAATTGTTTTTGATTGCTATGATTCTGATTTTCCTATTACCTACACTAATAAAGAAGTGTCACGAAGGAGGGTTCATTCCCAGTTTTCCAGGTACAAAATTATGCCATTTCCCAGTTCCTGGTTAATTAAAATCACACATTCGGTTTTTCCCGTTGACTTCTATTCCTGAATCACGAAAAATATACCTGGTATTTCCTGGTTCCCAGCCAATTAGGATGGTCCAATCTAACGTCCTGAAATTAACTGTTCTCTCTATTATTTAACAAAGAAATATGATCAAAATATGAAATCTTTGTATTCTATAATGAATGCACTTTTATATGACATATTTTATGAAAACGAGTGAAGTGAGTACAAAAACTGTAACCGTGTTTAGCGTTTGCAACCAACGAAGTTACGTGACCTCCGTATGATCACACATCTATGTCAGAAAGCATTGCACATTGAATTCCCGTTTCAGACTGGAGACCCTGGAAAACATCTTCTCCCTGCTGTTTGTGCGCTACAAGGACCTGCACGACAGCGTGCTGCCACCTGGCGATGCTACCGAGGAGGGGGGTAACGGCGACGAGGAGAGGTCGCGGCGGAGCTTCGAGACGAGTCTCGACAGCATCGTGTTCGAGCAGCATCTGTCGGTGAGCGAGAAACAAGTGGCGCCGGCGACGCTCACCGTGGAGCAGCACAGTCAAGCGAATTCGAGCGACTCGACGGGCGAACACACGGCAACGACGTCAGCGGACGTCCATGCGGGCCCCGGCGGCGGCGGTGGCGCCACCGACCAATGCTTCCTGCCACTGAACGACGAGCGCAGTTCTGAGGGTGACTGCCAGGGGGCGCCCTACGTTGGTTACTCGAGTTCGCGCAGTGTGAGCAGTTTGAACGGGTACAGTACGGGATTCCTATGCAACGCGCTACTCGCACGCGATCTGCTGCACCTGCTCAAGGACTGCGTTGACGAGCTCAAGGTCACAGAAACGACACGGTCGCAGCAGCCAGCGCCATCTAGACCGTCGGAGCGGGAGCGGCCACAGGCACCTACTAAGCCAGAGTTAGTTACAGACTCAGAGAGGGCGCCACCGCAGGAACCTAATGAACCGGCGTTTGTTACATACTCAGAGAGGGCGCCACTGCAGGAACCGAATGAACCAGCGTTCGTTACACACTCAGAGAGGGCGCCACCACAGGAACCTAATGAACCGGCATTAGTTACACACTCAGAGGGGGCGCCACCGCAGATGCCTTCTGAATCAGCATTAGATGCAGGCATGAAGACAGCCTCACGTGATGTTATCAGTCCAACCTTGAGCACTCCTCTAAAAGACTCGACCCTTCAGGCACGTCTCAGCTGTCTCAGTCGACTCGTGAGCGAGGCGCTGTGGCGGTACCGTCTCGTGACGGACTCGGGCATCCCGGACGCTGTCGGCGTCATCAGCATCTCAGAGCCGCGTCTCGAGCGGAGCGATGATGGGGAGGAGGATGAGGAGGCTGAGGAGTGGACGAAGCCCAGATACCGTCGCCGCCACAAACACGCAGGTAGCCACTGCTCGACTGTTGCTCAACCCGCATCCATGTCACCGTCCTTCCTTCCACATACCTTTCTCTGTCGAAAATGGCTGGCGAATGTTAATGTACCATCGTGGTGAATTCCTGTGCGCAAGTGTAGACGTTAGAAAAGGTCCTTCCTTGGGGATGCTGAAATAATATATAGCCATCACATGTGGTCAGAAGGTCCAGGCTATTGTTAGAAGGCTACTAATCTATTGAGTACTGAATAATTTTAATATGCTTTAGGTAAACAAAGATGAGCGATTCCTTTGGTCTTCCATTATGCAAAGTTGTTCACTAAAGTTCTAATGTGACCTTCACTCAACCTCTATAGCATGTTGAAGCATTTTTACATACCTGCTCGTCGTCTGCCATATACTTTGTCATATTCTAGGTGTGATAAATGCACACTCCAGCAGCAGTGCCTCAAAAAGTGCTTCACAAGATGGCGAGAGTCAGAGTGGAGGACAAGATGGTGGCAGACGCACACGCAGAAAGTCTTTGCGGAGGCAAAGAGGGAGCCATCGTAATCTCCAACCGAGGAACAGCATCGTGTCCGAGATGCTCGCTTCACGCGAAACTCTGCTCAATGTGTGCTTGCTCAAAGGAAACTACCTGCAGGCCAAGCAGGTGATCAAGGTAAATATCAAGTGTAACACTACAGTTACCCTGAAGCTACCTACTGTTACTTGATAAAGGTGAATATCAGGTATAACGCTACATGCAGCCAATCAGCATATATGCTATAATTATGTTATATAGCTGCTATATGCTACATGCAGGTGATCAAGGTGATTGTTAGAGATGATTAACATAAATAGATGATTGCGAAATCTCTGTGTTATCTCTCATTGCTCGAGTGACCATGCAAAATGGTCGGGGCCTTTTCCACCAATGGGGCATAAAGGAACCACTGAGGACATAAAATACTATGGTATTGACCACCCTCAGTGTCATGACACAATCAGAAACAGATGTGTGAGGTAGTGCTACCTGCCGTCTGAGCAGGTCGTTAATGTGTCTGGCAGGTGTCTCGGGTGTATCACCTGTAATGTGTTTATTTATAGATGTGTGACATGGATGAACATCCTGCAGTATATGAGGTAGGTTTCCTAGAACACCAAGAGATGGCAGCACGAAAGATAATGAATGCAGAGATGCGCCACAAGGCTACACAATTACAGGGAGATAATTATTCAGGTATGATATTTATATATAATTTGGGAAGAATGGTTGCCAAGTACATGTAGTATTGATGATGTCAAATGGTATACTATGAGCAATGGAATCACGTTTTAATTGCACTGTGTAGGTGACAACAAGGTATACGAGTTCATAGTGAAAGAAAATTTGGGCCATATATTTAGAATGTCATATGCTCTGTTTGGTACCTTTGTTATCTTCTTCTGGTGTGATTTCTCTGCTGTCTACATATACTACATTATGGCTCACTTTTGCTATCTTTGCTTCAACCCATCACCCTCTGTATCTCTCTCTCTTTTTACTCTCTCTCCCTCTCACTTCTCTCTCTCCCTCTCTTTCTCCCTCCCTCATGCTCTTGCTACTTCCCTCCATCTCTGCTGCCTCCTTCCTCTCATCTCTCTCTCCCTTCTTCTCTCTCTCTTCTCTTCAGTCCTCTCTCTCTCTCTCTCTCTCTCTCTCTCTCTCTCTCTCTCTCTCTCTCTCTCTCTCTCTCTCTCTCTCTCTCTCTCTCTCTCTCTCTCTCTCTCTCTCTCTCTCTCTCCCTTCGTCTCTCTCTCACCTTTGTAATTTATGTGGCTTGCAGCAAAGAATAGCACGAGTAGCATAGCCTAGGTTGCCATGTCAGGGCTGGGTGGCTTTCCCTTTCTCTCCCTCCCTCTCTCTCTCTTCCTCCCCTCTTTCTCACGTGTGTACTTTGTGTGGTTTGCAGGCAAGGATAGCGTGAGTAGCATAGCCCGCGTCGCCGCGTCAGGACTGGCCGTCACGCTCATCTCCCGCGTTGCCGAAGAGCTGCTCCACCACAGCACCCCGTGCGTCTCGCTGACGCACCACCAGGCGGCAGCACTGCTCAGCCTGGGCGTGTTCCGCGCGGGCGAGGAGCCGGCGATGGTCGTCGCTGACCTGGGCGTCGCCAGCAGCGGCACGCACGACGGCTCGCTGCGTCTGCTCGACCTCGCCACACGCAAACTGTCCGCCGCCGGCAGCCTGCAGACGAGCGGGGGAGGCGGCGGCGGCAACGCCACCTTCTCGGGATTCCTTGCGCGTCTGGTCGCGCTCGGTGGCGCCCTCGACGGGCGGCGGAGCGTCGCGCACGCGCTCACCTGCGGCACGTTCTCGCCGCACGCCGAGATGCGCCGCCACCAGGTGGCGGTCGTCGACGGGCTGCAGCAGTGGGGTCGTGCGGCGCTGGCGTGCCTGCATCGCGGCGTGGCGACGCGGCGGGGCGGTGAACCCAGCGATGACGCGAGATCACTGCAGAGACCTGGCAAACAGCTGTTCAGGCGATTCCGGAGGACGAGACATCAGGCAAGAGATAGTATTCATGATATAGTGCGCAGGTGCAGCTATGGTAGTAGTGGTTGCGGCAATGTCAGTAGTAATTCTAGCAGGAACACAGGTATAGCTATAGCAGTAGCTGTAGTGGCAACGTCAGTGGTAGTACTAGCAGTGATATGGGTGTAGCTATTATAATCGCAGTAGTGGCAATGTCAGTAGTAATGCTCTATTATGCTAGCAGTAGCATAGGTATAGCTATAGTAATAGAGGTAGTAGCAATGTCAGTAGTAATGGTAGTAATAGCACAGGACTAGCATTAGTGACAGTGACAATTATATTAATAATAGTAGTAGTAGTAGGAGGTGAATAGCTATAGCAGTACGAGTAATAGAATCAAACAGTGGTTGTGGTGTTATCAGTAAAATGGTAGTTGTGCTGAAAATAGTAGGGAACAGATGAGAGGAAAAATTATATCACAACAGCAAACAGAAGGTGATGTAGTTGAAGCGATTGTCGTGATAATTGATGCATTAAAATAACAATATACTAACAGGTGTAACAGCGAGCATGATAAAGGCTTCATCAAGGTATCTACTTTTATTAGTTTGAATTCCAGAACTTAGGGCAAGCTTTCATTGAGAGTCGACTGATTTTCTGCGTGAAGTTGTGGTAAACCCCGGACGTTGCCGTAAATCGCCGCACCATTTTTATCCAATCAGGTGGACGAGAGGCCGCATGGGGAGGACGATGCCCCGTCGATGGAGGTCGTCGTGACGACGATGGTGAAGCTTCTGGCCAATGCGCAGCTGAGTTTCGATCATCGGGCGGACAGTGTGGCAGCCTCGTTCCCAGTGCCGCTGCTGTCGCATGCGTGGAGCAACCTACACTCCCTCACCGAGCTCGTGAAGGAGGCTCAGGAAGCAGGTTCTCTGAACGTTGTGGATCAGCTTGAGACAGGACCAACCTACACGCTGGGAAGGTTACTGCTGCAAGGTCGTCTACCCCCTGACAGGTGTGTGTGTGTGTGTGTGTGCGTGCGTGCGTGCGTGCGTGCGAGCATATGCGCGTGCACGTGTGTGCATGCGTGCGTGCGTGCGTGCGTGCGTGCGTGCGTGCGTGCGTGCGTGCGTGCGTGCGTGTGTGCGTGCGAGCATGTGCGTGTGTGTGTGACAGGGGAGAGGCATAGGGTTTGGGAGAAGAAGCATGTTTGGTGTTGCACTATAAACTATGCAGAGTGTGTAAATAGTGTTTCTGTGGTGGTTTGAGCAGCAGTGTGTAAATGTGAACATTCAACTGTTCTCAACAGGCTAGAAGAGGCAGCACATAACCTGGGCTTAGACTTGATGACTATTATTGTGCAAAGCTGCTGTCCTCTAGTGCCAACGGGAGGTGTCGCTAGTATTGAAGGTAAGTTTACGTGGGTTGTAATAAACGTGCTTAAAGGTTAATAAGTGATAGGCTGAAGATTGAGTTTATGATCCATTTTAAGAAATGAAACGGTAGAATAGTTGAATTGTAATAATCTATTGATTCCTATGCATTTTCTATGCTACATTTTCCTATTACCCTTTTTAAAAAACACTGTCAGATGTTGATTGGTATAGATCGTACATAATATACATATAGATAGCATAATATAGAGTATAATACAGATAGATAATACTATTGAATATAACTAGATACATAATATATAGTAGAGTGATGGCATTTATATTATATCATTTTCTGTGTTCGTTAGGTGCTGTAGACGATGCTGAGGTTATTGTACTTAACGAGGGAGAGTTTCCATCCACAAGCAGGAGTCCTACCCTCATTGTAGAAGAAATCCTTACCCAGCTCATCCACCTAGTTAAAGGTATCGTCAGGTGTTCCACTGTGCTGTTAGTCATAGTTACAGGACTATTACGTGGTGCGGTTAGAATTTAAGTTGGTTCATACATTGACCATCAATTACAGAGCATTTATGGAAACTTCAGTCGCATTTAATTTGTGCCATCTAAATATTTTCTTCGAATGTGTAAGATACTAAGATACACATTGACCTCATGATGACCAGTGATCACACTATGAACCAGAAAAACGGACAAAATACGGACTAAACACGGAAATGGTGCAAAACGCACAGAGATTAAAAAAATTAAAATTTAAAACAATTTAAATCTAAAATTAAACATTTTATTTAAACAACATTTTGGGAATTCACTCTACCCCTCTTACTAATATAAATAACCGTAGGACCAACGACCCATAGGACTATAGATCGGTTCCCGTTAAAACAGTGTCATACTCGTAACTCTTCTCCTATTATCTACTCTTGATATATATATAGATATATATAGATATAACTAACGTTATGTTTGTCCACAAAAATATATTAAGCATTTTATATAAAAGTAACGTCAAAATTGCCTTGAGAGAACTTGTAATACGATCAAATTCGGGTATTGATGCAAGAAGAGCAACACGGCACACGCGTTTTGTATAGACAATTCTCAATACGACACAATTACACAGGCACGCGATTAAACCATTGTTTCAACACGCCAGCCACACGTACAATGCCTATAGCGCTACACCAGTTTATACCAGCCAGCGCGCTAGTCGTTGCCTCCCTCCACTAGTAGACACCACTAGTAGGTTCCAGATGCTTTGCGCCCGCGCCCGGGCTTGAGTACTGTCACGAGCCCTAGCGCTGAGACGGTCTATGTCCCCCGGGGTACTGCCGGAACGTACCCTGGGTACGGTCCAGTATACCGGAACGTACCCTGGTACTATCTAATATGCCGGACCGTACCTCGCCTACTCCACTAACGAGTCTAGGGAGTCGCCTACACCTACTCCCTAACCCTAACCCTAACCCGAAACCGAGCCCTAACCCTAACCCTAACCCTAATCCTAACCCTAACCCTAACAATATCAAATAGTGACCAGGGTACGTTCCGGTATACCGGACCGTACCCAGGGTACGTTCCGGCAGTACCCTGGGGGACATAGACCCTATGAGCTATACTAGCAAGCGATGGTAAATAGCTGGCGCTATCAGCACCTGTTATCATTTCGCTGCATCAAAAGCTCATGCTGCTGGTCTGCGGGCGCCACGCTGGCTGGCAAATGTACGTAGTTTGTACGTAATAAACACAGACTCGCCGATATTAGACAGCGTTAATTGGCAGTCCATATTCCATGGTTCGCACAGTCCTTGAAAAGTCCTTGAATTTGAGGGGAGTCCTTGAAAAGTACTTGAATTTGAGGGGAGTCCTTGAAAAGTACTTGAATTTAGTAAATGTTGATTTTGTGCTTGAAAAGTTCTTGAATTTTTAGAAAGAATCCTTGCCTGTAATAAAAAGAAATTTTGTACCATCAATAATGTGCAAACCTCAATAAAAATTGCATTGAATGAGCTTAAAAAGCTATAGACACGATAGACAGTTAAATGATGATCACAAATTACAGTAAGTCAGTAAAATCAGTCAGTAAATCAAGGTATGTTGTAGAAGTGACAGTGTTTAGAAGGGTTTATTAACGTGATCCAGTTTTAGAGGTGAAAGTGATTAAGAATGGGGTTATTATTAAATTAATCCAGGTATGTTTTGTTCTGTGTATGAATTCCGATAAAATATCCTTGAATTTCCGATAAAATGTCCTTGAAAAGTCCTTGAAATTTTTTTCAGTCCTTCTGTATGAACCATATGATATATATTCCGTGGTTATTTCGTAGGAGTCGGTATATTTTGCTTTGGACAGTAATTAGCTGGGTAATTTTTTGTAGCTCTCCGTGCGTTTTTCACCATTTCCGTGTTTAGACCGTATTTTGTCTGTTTTTCTAGTTTATAGTGTCACTAGCCCAGAGTCTCTGTGAAAACATGAGTCACGAGAATTTTTCCCAATCTATTTTGCTTGCATTGATGTGAACCTTATTGTTCCAGATTATATAAGTCTAGATGGAGCCACGATCAGCCTTCACAGCTGTCAAAAAATTGCAGCAAGTGCTGGTTTTGCCATCATCGTCGTGGCAACTTCTGAACTTGCCAGTGTCGATCTAGATCTTCTGGCGAGTGACGAAGAGAAGCTTTGCTTCTGGGTGAATGTTTTCAACCTGATGTTCGTGCACACAATGCTGTGGGCTGCAGTGCACAACAAGTGCCTCCCTCTGCTAGATGAGACAAGTGTGGCTGCCATGCTCTACTTGCAGACCATACGATACACAGTCGGACAGATCAACCTTGTCAGGTACGTGTGAGAAGGTTACAATATTCGATATTTCCGGTTGATACCCTAGGCTCAGTAATGCTTCATGAAAATGTCACCACGTTGCTAACAGTCGCATTTGGCACCATTGCAACTTGCAATATTCTGAATGTTGTCGATAAATTATGTGTGTGCTATTAACGTATGTGCACGAGTGTCATGTTCCTAGTTTGCGGTTAATCACGAAATCGCTTCAGAGTTAATTGCTATACTAATTACTATCCATTTTGTAGATTAAATACCATGTTAGCAGCTCTGAGATTTCTATGATTTTGTTGCCAGTCTCTTTGACGTACGTTACTTCATTCTGCGGCGGGGACTGCCAGCGCCACACGGTGGTCTACTCGCACATCGACTGCACCCGCTGCAGGAAAGCGACCCATGGTGGAAGCACACGGCTCCCTCTGTTGATGCCCGCGTGCAGTTTGTCCTGCTCACCGGCTCTCTGTTCCACTCCCCACCTTTACAGGTAATGCAGGGGTTAAGGATACTCTCCACCTTTTGCACGGGTATTGCTCTAATGAAGATTAAACGTTTATTGGCGAATGAATCGAATCAATCACTTGTTTTATTTATAGAGGAGATATATCTCTATGCTCAAGTCAAAAAATTTCATGAAATTTCCAGCACCTAATTATATTACCACACAAATTTTGAATTTTTATGTAAAAATGGTATTTTGGATATTTCTCAACTACCAGAAAGAGTGAGGATACAAAATTTTTGCCACATGTTAAGCACAATATAGACCAAAATAGTGCGTCAGGATTTTTAGCTCATCTGACATAGTCAGATGCAGCTTGTAGAATCGCATGATCGTCCGTCCGTGCGTCCGTGCGTGCGTCCGTCCGTCCGTCAACAGTTGGGCACAAATCTTAACCGCTCGACGTACGGTCACGATATTCGGGTCGTTGGGGGGGATCGTCAAAACGAGTTGGGATGTCGAAGCTGGGGGTCAAAGGTCAAAGGGCAAGAGGTGTAAAGGAAGGGTGAACATTCACTCCTTAACTTAAGGTATAGGGAGGAAATGCAGAATTGCGGCACAAATCTAAATGGCTCATGCTAGGCTCGTGATAGTCGGTGTATAGCATCATGGTAGGTAAAAGCCATCACTGTGCCGAAATTGGAAGTCACAGGTCAAAGGTCAATGAGGCACAGAGCAGATTTTAGACATTTTCTGAGGACATTGGTCTGAGCGGAGCGATTGAAAAACTTTTTTTGTTTCAGCGGTGACCTAGCATTTTTATGGCTTTATTGAAAGGACCATGAAATGTCCCTTCTGCTGACATGCGAAGAGTAAGTGTCGGCTAACCTTTGACCCTCAAGAGCGAGGTTAAACATGGATTGTTTGACTGTTAACAAAGGAGTGAACTGCTTTTGCTATTAGAGCCCCCTCCCCCACCCTCCCCCTTCCCCTCCCCTACCGCCTTCCGCCCCACCTCCCACCCTCCCCCCATCCTCCCCTAACCCTCCATTCTGCGATAGTGGGCGTGTCCTAACAATGATGTGTACGCAACTGCGTGTCTGCCATAATCTGCGCCTAACAAATTGTGGCCTACTACTGCACGCACGACTGAAATTTTACATTTATGATCGTAGCAACAGACCTCAGATGAGCCCAGACGCTCTGCGGCTCTTGTTCTTTAAGTTTCAGATTTACCGAGAAAAATGGAAAAAACTGCTTAAAAATAAAGTTGTGTGTTAGAATTGAAAATTTTAGCGAATAAAGAGGCATAACTAATAAAATACGGCACTTAATAATAATCCCTGACACACTTTTTTAGAGCAATATATTACCATTAAAACGAGTGTAAAATTAAATTAATCTGAGTTGTAATCACAGAGAAATATTCATTTATACATCGACTACTAAGTCGGAAATTGGAACGGAGAAATCAGCGTTTTTCTGACGTCAGCCGCGGATCACTACACATGTACACGGGCAAGCAAAACGCTCTGACAGTTCACATGTATCGTTATATGGAGAAATGAGCATGTACACAGGTGGCACATAGTGTTAGCCATCGAATAAAGTTGAAAATGAAAAATCGGTAAAAATTTTCCTAAAACCTTGATAGTATCCTTAATCAACCCTTGGTTCCTGTAGACAAGTGTTATGATCTGTGTGTGTGTGCTGTGAGTTTTATGACAAGAGTAGAGCCATGCATGTGATGCTGAATTTCCTGCGAGACCTCCAAGCAGCGTCTTAATTGTTGTTACGCATGCGTTGCCTAGGTGATCAGGCAAGTGTTGCTGGAGGAGCAGCTGAAGCTGGCCACCAGACAGTTCCTGGAGCACCGCATCTGCATTGATGCCGCGCGCAAACAGGTAACAAGTAGAAGCTGATAGATTCCCTGCGCTTGCCGGTCTACCATATGACCTGTCACGGCATTACCTTGAATATTACATGTATTAGTTAGTGTAGAATGGTCTTTATCCCATAGGTCTTGTCCTTTTTATGCCCTTAGCTCCAGTCATGGACCGTCGGCCCTTTGTAACTGGGTTGCTTTGGTTTCCGTAATGTGCTTTTTCCAGCAAAGCTATTTGCTGTTATGAGTGTGAGGTTGGTAGCATATCATGCTGCTGAGATAAATGCATTTCGACAGCAGGTGTTAAAACAAAACGAAATTAAGTGCCTTGCTCACGAGCACGATAGGAGTGGCCACGGCAGAACCACAGACCTTCTAGATCAAAGCCGTGTGCTATCCACTAGACAGCCACTGGCCCCCTGCCATATCTTGTCCTTATACTTCCTCTATAAATGTCATTCTGCATGATACAGACCGACATCAAAGACCAACCACAGGTGCAACAGTTTGCTAACTTAACTGTGTCGTATAATCGATTCATTCAGTGTTGTAAGTTTTGTCATGTAGTGTTTGTTCCTCCCTCTCTGCACCTGTTTTACTGTTTTAACTGTTTAACAGTTTGCGTTTAACTGTGTCGTATAATCGATTCATTCAGTGTTTTACGTTTCGTCATGTAGGTGTTCGTTCCTCCCTCTCTGCACCTGTTTGCGGCTGACATGGCGCCGGCAGCCAGCATGGACGCCACGCCGGATGCGACTGTCACTGGCGACAGGTGGCATGCCACTCAGTTACTGCACTTCATGGGGCTGTACTGCCCAGACCTGCAGCAACTTCTCAACAAAGGTACAAAGACTCACGGGGATGTGAGGACGTTAGCTTGAGAAAGGCCGAATAAAATCAGCATAGCTTCTCATGCGCGACCTTGTCAGCATCCTCAGCTCAGATGTCACATGTTAACGTACTTAGCTGCGCAGCTCTTGATACGCTCTAGAGAAAATGTAATGCCATGGCTTGAAAAATGTAGTGGAGCCCTTGCCTTCCATGGCTGATAATTTTCAACTTGTAAACAGTAACCAATTTCAATTTGTAAACAATGATAACCACTATTGTCTAGATCTAACAAGCGCAAACATGAGTAGCTCACCAACTTTTATTCTCGACTCTGCATCCTACAGGCAAAAAGAGCGATGGACGGCTGAGGGTCAGCGCTCTCAGTGTTACTCCGGAGCCAGGTCTAACACTGGCATACCCCCCAAGCTCAGGTGCGACTTCCCCCAGGGGCCACCGGAGAATCACCTCTCTACCAATCCGCATGGGCGGTGCGGTCAGCCTCGGAGATGAGCCGGCGGCAGGTGCGCGCATCCCGCCCGTGTTTAAGGCGCCCCCTACCGAGGCGGCGCTGGCGTTCACCAGCGAGAAGAGCCGGCTGCTTGGCACCGTACTTCGACTATTCGCGCGCGCCGCCGGAAACGACGTGCCGGACGTGGCAAGCGAATTCCCGCGGCTTTCGGCGTTCCTCGAGGCGGCAGTGTGGCCGGTGCTTGACGTGGTGACACCGAGACACAGGCAGGACGTCCTGGCTGTACTTCTTAGCAGGTAGGTAGGTTGGCACCTTAAATAACATCTGGGGTGAGAAGGAAGAAAGGTAGTCGGGTATCACGGAGAAATGGGACGATGCCATTGGAGGGTAATGAATAGAGAGGTTCAGGCAGGCAAAATAATGATGGAATGTTTAAGGAAGAGAAAGTGATAGAAATCTTTAGGAATAGATTTGAGAGCAAGACTCACTAAGAGAGATATTAATGGAAAACAAGAGATAAATAAGGAAGGGAAGAAGGGAAGCAAAAGAGGGGTCAAGAGTGAGGAAGGAAGAGACAAAAACAGTATAGTAGATGTGCAGGGCCGATAGCAGAGTATGAAGACGTACATAGACGAGCGTGTTTATGAGTAAATGTCATCAACAATGTCAATTAACAACACTGACGAACAGTTAACGATGCCGATGACAGTTAACGTGTCAGTAATCACCGCAACGTGTCCCTCCGCGCAGGTCGGCACAGTCGAATGCCGTCAGATTTCTCGTGAAGGCAATGAGCCCGGCGATCAGTGACGGCCGAGGGGAGGCGGTGCTACATGCGATCTCCTGCCTCCCGCATACCACCCAGCGTAGCCACCAGCTGCGTCTCATCAGCGACCACCTGCTCTGTGGCGCCATCTGGGAGCAGACGCGGTTGCGGACGGCGGCCGCCGAACGTGGCGAGGACGCGTCGGCATGGTCTCCGTGGCAATGGCTAACCGCAGTGTACGACGGCGATGCGAAGCGTCGCTGTGCGCTGGGCTGCATGGAACACTGGCCCGTCGAGGCGTGCGTGTGTGCGCTACAGACGTGCTGTGATGACCCGCCCCGCTCGGCAACATTACATGAGGCCATCACGCAGAAACTTGGAGAGATGAAAGTTTATCAGAAGGTGACAGTGAATGATAAAAGTTTATAAAAGAAAAAAAGAGATTATTAGTTCATGTTTATCAGGAGTTAACAGTAATGAATGACTATCAGGTGGGGCATAAGGAGGTACGAGTAGGTAACAGAGAGATAAAAGTTTGTCAGAAGGTAATGGTGCCTTGAGAAGTGTGAAGGATCATTCGTGATGAAATCTTCACTGCTGTGCCTACTGTGAGAGTTTCACCCACCAGTTTTATCCGGTATTGACGCTGGGTATGATGTTTGTTCAGGTGATGGAGTGTGCAGTGCTGTGCCATGGAAACGCTCGTCCTGTGCAGGGAGAGTGCACCACTGAACTGGCCACGTATGAGTACTGGATCTTCACAGCCTCGATGAGTCGCTCCCAACCGACTGTCATTCTCAATATTCTCCTGAAGTAAGTGATTGTTACGATGTATGAAATCGTATTGATACGCGACATGTGTCGTTCGGGTTAATAGAATTCAGAATTCTGAACGTGGGGATGGGATCATGACCATGTCGTCGTGTTAATTAGTGATTGTGAAGAGCTCAATAGGGTTCAGTCAATAATTCAATCCACACCTTTCAGGCCACGTCTGGTGATGGGCATTAGCCCACCTTCATATTCACTCCTATCATCAAGTTTCCACTGTGCTCAGGCATTGGTGCTGTTGTTGTTCTTGTTGTGGCTGTAGGTGTTGTTGTTGTTGTTGTTGTTGTTGTTGTTGTTGTTGTTGTTGTTGTTGCTGCTGCTGCTACTGCTGCTGCTGCTGCTACTGCTGCTGCTGCTACTGCTGCTGCTGCTGTTGCTGCTGCTGCTGCTGCATGTGAAACACACTCACCACATAACTGCAGGTGTCACGAGTATTCGGTGGCTAGAGAGTGGGCATCCATGCATGATGCGACCCACGAACTGCGCCAGCGTATAGAGGAAGCTCACATCACCTACCTGCTGGACAGCCAGAATGACCTGTTCAAAGCCTACAAGGTGAACACTTTTATTCTTGCTCAAACTTGTTTAGTGTGCTGTGCTACCTCACACTGCTGGTGTAATTTAAACTATTACTGTTCGCATCGTTGGTGTAACTGTACATTTATGATGCAAAGTATTCGTGTAACTGTATTTTTTACAACAAAGATATAATATAATTATTATTTATTAAAAAGCTATATAATGTGAAATAAAACTAATAAAATTGAAGTTCATTTTAGTAAATATAATTGAGTAAAATGTAAATTATAATAGAATAATAAACCTTTGTCTTTTAGTAATATACTTATATATATACATATAACGTACTTAATATACATGTCCATGTCATACCACTGCAGAATTTTAAAACACAATGTTCCTCTATCTGTACATTCAATAGTACGTGTATTAGTGCATATCGTTATGTGTGACATGCTGACCTGCAGGTGCTGGCTGACATTGAAAACAAGAGGCTGTGTCTTGGTGCATGCCTGCTACTGATGGAACAACTGTCCAGTCTCACCCACGTCATGTCCGTCTGCCAGTTTGTTCTCTGTTGCCTTGGCGACGAGCTGACAGACACTGAGCGCACCAAGCTACAGCGTATCAAGCTTGGCATCAAGGTCACTTCATGTTCTCCTCGCTGCTTATACTACCTCTCCCTTAAGGCGCACTTAGGGTGCATTTGTTTTGTTGTGATACGTGTGTCTACGCATTGCGAGGTCAAAATTTTTACGAATGATTTGAGCATACGTGTCGGCCCAAAAGTGAAGAAAAAAACTACTCGAAATCTATCAATTAAAAAAAACATTTGTTGAGATTTAAGAATAATTAGTAAATTATGCGGGGTGAGTACGTGTCCTCAAAAGCCACCTGCTTGTTTTCCTAATCGATCGATGGTGCTTTAATTGCACATATACAGAAGCATTGGAATGCTAGCACATATTATGCATGATAGACTGCAGATTGCTTCAATCCAGCCTGCCGTGAGAGTTATGCGTGTGTTCTTGCCCTAAGCACATCATCACCTGTTAGTGTTCTCGTTCCGCAGGCGCTCTTACTGCTGCCAGAGCAACTGTGTGAGGAGTACCAGGAGCTAATCTCAAGGCCAGACCTTCTCATCGAGCAGCTTCTCATGAATTTCAAGGTGAAGGTCGAACCTAACTAATCGCTAATCCTGTGGTTCTGTTGCTTCAGAGCAATGATTTGAATCTGGTGTTCGTTTACTTGATATACTTACCTACTTACTTTTTGTGTCATAGTATAGTAAACCTGTACCATAGTGCAGCAAACCTGTACCATAGTGCAGCAAACCTGTGCCATAGTGCAGCAAACCTGTGCTATAGAACTAATACATTGTTATGAAGTGGTCCAATAAGCCTAGGCTAGGTTTATGTAAGTTGTATCAGTATCAGTAATAATGCCGTATGTGCATTATTTTACTTTTTTAAGCTCAGTTTTGATAGTTGGGAATTTTTTCTAACATGGATATTGTGTGGTTCATTGCTTCCCAGATTAGTAGGGCCTATACCAGTTATACTTGACACCATAATCCCACCACTTCCCTCGTCCTCGGTAGTCTGTCTATGGCTACTAGAAGTATAGCTGCACGTTAGTGCATGCCGGTCATAGCAGGGACCAAGAACCAATTATAGTTTGATAAAACTTAGCACCGTTGTCTATACAATGGAATTTGTGTGTGTAAAATATACCGATGTGTAATATTGTGAACATATCTATACAACGTATACTTGTATATATATTTACATGATAATATGTATACACATTACATAATTATTACCTTGATGTGAGGGGTACATTAATTTATCAGGTCGGCAAAATGGTGTAATGCCTCAATAGCCTCTTCATAATTTAATTTCTCATCAGTAGCATAAAAAAACCTGTAAAACCAGAAAAATTCTGTACCGTGTCATGGCCACCGAATATAAGAGCTTTCTTCATGGTAGGTGGCAGCACCGATCAGCATGCAACATTGATTTTAATACAATGTAATACATGGGAAATAGGTGAACGCAAGTACACACACATATATGCACGCATGCATACTTGTAATGCTATGTGTAAAAGAACCTGTTAGCTAAATGTGGGGTACAATTTATATTGTAGGTGGAGTATGTTGCCAGTGTGTACAAAGAAATACAAGGGGCAGCACCAGATTCTTCACTTACCTCTCTTGGCTGTGGTCAGGAGTGGTTCAACACTTTAGTCCTGCACTATGCTTTCAAGGCTCTGGAGTTTCCTTTTAGGGGTAATACTGCATGTGTCAGACTAGAGCTGTTTGTAGTGGACACATCCATCTTGTTATAAATGTATGGGCACAGAGTCAATATTTTTATCATTATAAATGATAGTTTCCTACATGGTTTTTAACAGTGGTAGATATGTGCTATGAGTGGTGTTTGTATCTCAATCATGGTTAGCAGGTGTGTGTGTTCTCCTGCAATGCCTTTACTACCTAACATAGAACGTTTTTATTGAAATTTATCATGATCAGTTCAGAATCTATTGAGCTGGATGTGGTAAACAGTATAGTATGGTGTGGTGCCGTGTCTTGTCGTGTTGTGTCATGTCATGTCGTGTGGCGTGGTGTGTGGTGTGTTGTGGTTAAGTATATAGTATAGTATAGCTTGCACAATACGATACATACACTTGGCAATTAAATAATAATGAGTCAATCGATGCATAGTCACTGCATTCTTCCAGGAAGCCCTCAGTCTGTGACCCGAAGTCCAGAGCATACCAAGTTTTCAGGAGAAGGAATGTCAGGTGGACGGACAGCTGGAGTGATGAGACAGTCATTGTCAGCTGAGAGCCTGTGTTTGTCTGTACATCATCACAGTGAGTTCATACATCTAAACATAGGAATTATATATAAATAAGGTACCAATGTTTGTTAGATCGGTCTACAAATGACACACATCTAATAAATAAATAAATAAATAAATAAATTATGTATTGCCTTGAGACCCTTTGTCAGAAGTACCCTAAGTAGTTGTGACATCATGTCTAACATGTCACAAGAGTGTCACATACTTTTGAACTGATATGCTGTGCAAAATCTGTGACATTTTGGATGTGAAAAAGATTAAACGATATATAATGTTTTTGATAACAGTCCTCTGAATGTTTAGAATTCAGTTACAATCTACAACTCCTGTATAGCTATCTGTGTGCTGCTTAAAGACAGCTACAATAGAGGTAGAGTATTTTTAACACGTGAAATTTGTGTTGATATAATCAAATTTGCAACATCGCATTCTACAGGGCATGGCCTGTCGGGCAGGTACAGCCGATTGCTACGGCAACGCAGCATCAGTATCGGTCAGTTTGTGATTCCGCTCGAGCCACCGCTGATGGAAGCATGGACAGCTGATGCTGACGTCACTCACTGTATGGTCTGCAGGATAGAGAAGTTCAGTATGGTGAGTACTGTATACGCCATATTTTTCGTGTACAGATATTTTCGCGAATTCAGACTTGACGGACAATTTTGTGAGTGGTTAATTTTGCGGTCTGTGAATTATGAATTATTCGGTATGAATTATTCGCGTGTGTACTGTTATTTTCACGGTCGGGGACGCGTTCGCGAAATTCGCGAAAATTAAACTACCGCGAAATATACAGCGTAGCTGTAGCTTGGCTTCATGGCAGCCAAGCTGCTGCAGTGTAATGCTGTGTAATATTGTCATGCTGCATTTCAGCCTGCATAGCAGTTCATCACACATGGTACAAATTATGCATTGCAGCACCTTTACTGTGCTATGTTTCAATTTCAGCAACAGTTCAACACAAGTACTGTTGTACAAATTAATTCATTATTTTTAGCTCATCTGACACAGTCGGGTGCAGCTTGTAGAATAGAGTTGAGTGTTCGTCCATCCGTCTTTCCATCCATTAACAATATGGGCACAAATCTAGACGGCTTAACGTAGGGCCTTGATATTCGGGATATAAGGGGGTCAATCCGAAAAGACCTTGGGATGTCGAATTAGTGGGTCAATGGTCAAATGTTAGAAAGTGGGAAGAAAGGAGAAATCTGAGGACATGGTCTGACAGACTAAGGGAGAAACATTTTATTCCTGTGGTGACCGTTTTTATGGCTTTGAGTACATCAAAAATTTATGCTCACACGAGACTAGTAGAATGTCTGGGCTGACCAGCCCTGCTTGGTGAGGGCCAGTGATATGCAAATCAGTAGCCACCTTTTGCATCGTCATCAGTACAAGGAACGCCCTACTTTGTAGTGCAACTAAGACGACCGGATTAGGATGAATATTAAGTGTGCAAAACATCACAAAACTGCACAACCTAAACTTATCAGGAAGTCACGATTAGTAACGATGGGCACTGCCATCTTTGATCTCGTTTACACACGCACCTGGCATCTCAGGGCAACTTCTCATGTTTCAGGTCATGTGTGAATGCATTTGAAACTAAAATACGTGTCGGTATGCACGACTGCAACTTACAGTTTACCAGCAAAGCAGCTACCCTCAGATAAGCATTGTCACTGTGCGGCACTTGTCTTACTCTAGAGTACCTGACTCATATGCAAAGACCTGCATTCCTGCATAGTGTATCATATTTAATATCATGCTCCGATTGACGTATATGTTTTGACGTTAGTTTAACAGGTGGCACCAGTGTCGGCGGCTTTAATACCATGCTCCATGTGATGTATATGTTTTGACGTTAGTTCAACAGGTGGTACCACTGTTGGCGGCTTTAATACCATGCTCCATGTGACGTATATGTTTTGACGTTAGTTCAACAGGTGGTACCACTGTCGGCGGCTTTAATACCATGCTCCATGTGACGTATATGTTTTGATGTTAGTTCAACAGGTGGTGCCACTGTCGGCGGCTTTAATACCATGCTCCATGTGACGTATATGTTTTGACATTAGTTCAACAGGCGACACCACTGTCGGCGGTGTGGCCGGGTCATCTGCCGTGCGTGCTCACGTCACCGTCGCCACGTGAAGGGCTATGGAGCCATACTCGTAAGGATCTGTGATGAATGCCACGAGCTGATGGAGAGGTAAAACAAGAGGCAGCACATTCGCTTGTCCACACTCTCGACATTATCAATAACTGAACGCGAGTCTGAAGAAGAGAACTGAGTACCAGTGTTTCCCCTGCATTGACATGAGCGAGGCGGCCACCTCGCTCAAATCTCAGCCGCCACGCAGAAATTTATCTAAAAACACCGCCTCGGCTCGCTGACGAAAATCACTGTTCTTCCATCAATAAACTGCACTTTATTGACAGCGTTGGAAACCATCTCTACGAAACTGCCGGTCCTCCTGACCGCCACTTTTTCCCCTAATAATACGCTGAAATACTATGGTTATCACAACGGCAGTTTAGACAGAATTTTAAACGGGAGCGCATTCTAATACGCTCCGTTCCTGAACGTAGACGGGGTATCCAAAACATCTAGAGCCGAGGGCATGAATTAGTCTCCCTCAACGCATGATTCGCCACATGAACAAAACCTCGTGACCATCTAAGAAATCGATTGCGACCTGTAGCCTAGCCCAGTGTTTTTATGCCCGCATAACAATAAGTTCATATGTCGCAAGGGTTATCGTGGGAAGTGAGGGCACGACCAGTGACACCTGACACGCACGTAATCACAGCTGTTAACTGAATTCGTCACTTTTCTTTATGTAGAAAGTGGACTATTTTGATTCAGTTAGATATCTAGAAGCAATGTAAACTGTATATATACTTCAAGATTCTAGGCACTTGTAACTTTGCAGATATGCGGCAGCATTGATCTATGCATGGGGGTAACCAGGACTGGGGAGGAGAAAAACGAAAGTAAAACCTTTCCCAGAAGCTTGTTTGTTTCTTTTGACAACTTGAAAAAGTGATTCAAGAGTCTCATATAATGTGTTCAGAATAGCTTAGAATGCACCAAATTGCACCTTTTTTTCTGGGGGAGCATGCCCCCGCACCCCTCTAGCATGGCGATCACCTTCGGTGCTTGCATTGCTCGCTTCTCGGATTGCGCAACCACCAAAAAAAAAATTTTCCCGCCTCGCTGACCTTTTTGGCCAGGGGAAACACTGGAGTACCATGTTGCTGTTTCGCGAGGTGCATTCAGTAAAGTTAGAATATCATTACTATACCTGGCCAGAGTGTTATATCTATATTGAAACTAGAGTAAAACTTTTTATATATTAAGAGGTACTTTGTTTGTGCTAGAATAACACCATTTTTCACACCATTGCCACAATTAGTTGTGCATAATAATACTCGTCTCTGCAATAAGAATAATCTGCCTACAAACCGCACGTAGAATATTCGCTCCCAATACAAAATATATACAGAAACGTATGTTGAATCCTGTTCGCCGTGACGGATCTGTTTCATTCTGATTCTGATGGTGTTCTCTCGCGCAGTGGGAGGTCGGACGAGCGACACCACGACGTGGAGCGACTGCGATCCAGCTTGTCCGGTAATGGCGGCGGCGGGGGAGCGGCGGCGAGCATTCCGGCGTCGCGCGTCGCGGCGCCCGCCTCCACCGGCAGCTCTCTGACGAACAGCACGACAACACTGGTGTCGGGCTGGAGGATGAGCAGCACGAGCGAGGAGGAGAACGAAAGCATCCGTGCGCAGTTCTACTACGAACAGGTATGTGTGTGTGTGTGTGTGTGTGTGTGTGTGTGTGTGTGTGTGTGTGTGTGTGTGTTGTGTG